GCTGGCAGCTGCTTATTTTATATCTAGTTTGTCTCCCTTTCTTATTCCTGCTTCTTTCTCATGGCTTTGTCTCGTTGGGGTTCCCAGCACTGGTGACAAGCTGCATTTTCAAGAAAAAGTCACCAAGATGAGAGCAGTGTCTCTCTTGCTGTACAGTCTTTAAGATGCGAGAACCCAAACCTTGGAGCCTAAAACCGCTTGACACTCATATTGATTTAATTCCCCATTTCTGCTCAAAACCCAGGCTTAGGCTCTGGCCTTAACCTGCCCTGCTATAAATTTTTCCCTCCTTCCTGAGGCCTCAAGTCCCTGGCTGCTGTCTTGGGTTTGCTCCAACTCCTCATTAGACTTGTATGCACTGTTTTTAAACTGTCTGCCTTGTCACTACTGATGGATGACGTAGCCAGGTAGAAGTTGGCATAGGATTTAGGAAAAACTAGTGTTTTTCCAAGTGCTCGGTGAGCTCCCCTGCCTTTAGGTACATCAAGTGAGGTTGGTTTTAATGAGATCTGAACTTGGGCCGACTCACCATCAATGTAACAAACCCCACCACGTCCCTGCAGGATTTGGGGATTCTGAGGTGGATGGTGGTAGGTCATGGTTCTAGCTGAGCTGGGTTTTAATGAATCACTTGGAATAGTCAGTGCTCACCATGGGCCGAGTTTGAAGGCACCTTGGCCTATACAGTGGACTAACAGGCACACCTCTGGATTCCCTCCTATAGCTTGTTGAATTGGGACCTTTTAGGAGTGACCTCTCAGGAGTGGAGGGGTTTGCTCTTTGGATATCATAGAATCATACAAAAGTAAGGCTGGAAGGGACCCCCAGAGGTCATTAGTCTAGCCCACCCCCCTGCCGGAGGTGGATCATCCCTATCCAGATCATCCCAGACACATCCATTGGTGAATTAGCAAAACTACAGACAACCCTAACACAACCACAAGGCATTAGACCCTGATCTGCCATGGGTAAAGCAGGGGGACAACAGTGCCAATGACCTGTTGCTTCAAGGGGTGCTAAGATATGCTCAAGAGCTCCAGGGCAGAGGCCATGTCCCCTGCTATAGAGGAAGCAGGGGGCATGCTTCCTTTGTAGCCCCTCTCCCCCCTCCCCTGCAGTCCATACAGATCTGACCACAGGGTAAAATAACTTCCTGATCCCAAACATGATGTCGGTCTAACCCTGAGTGAAGGGCCAAGACCCTCTAGCCGGAAACCTCCAGGTTTGAGTCCCAGCAGGAGCACTGACACACCCAGTGTGGGCTGCAACCAACATCCAATGCTTTTAAGGAAGGCAAACCCCCATCCTGACACATGTAGCAACTGGAAGAGAAAATAAATTCCTTCCTGGCCCCATGTGGCTACCAGCAAAGCCCAGAAGCCTGGGAAATCCCCATAGTAGATCACAGGCACAGCTACTCCTAGATCATCCCTGATCAATGCTTGTCCAGTCTCTTGAACATTTCCAATGATGGAAAGTCCATGTCTTCCCTATCAGAGAGGGGCCAGGCCATTGGACAGTGAGACTTAGCAGCAGGTAGAGATGATTGGAAGGGTTAAGGGGATTTGTCTTCCATCTGGTTTCAATAAGTGAACACGTGACTCTTCACCTTCTCTCCAGTATTTAAACATGTTGCGAACGTGCGAGGGCTACAACGAGATTATCTTCCCCCATTGCTCCTGCGACTCCCGGCGGAAGGGGCATGTGATCACAGCCATCAGCATCAAGCACTTTAAACTCCACGCCTGCACGGAGGAAGGCCAGCTAGAGGTAAAGGGCCTAGGCCAGGCTCTGCCCTCTCCCTCTCCCCTTACCCTTGGTAGATGCCCCAGGTAGGCTGAGGGCGCTGGGGCTGCATGCAGGATCTTGCTTCAGCTGTGCCACAGCAAGAGGCAGAATATTGCCCATTTCATGAACATGGCAGCTCTTGGAGAAGCACCTAAGGGTTACTTTTACTATATTTTCTAGCGTACAGCATGCACATTCCTTCCCCCCCACCAAATCAGCTCCCAAAATTGGGGTGGGCATATGAAGTGAAGAAACTTTTCCCCCCCCCCCCAAGTTTGAAGCACCCTGCTTTGACCCCCTGGCCCACAGTGTAGCAGCTCTGGTGCTCCTCTTCAGTCATCTGAGGAAGTTAATGTTCCAGTGTTTATCACAGGGGTAAAGATCTTCTCTCCTTTTTAATAGTCTTGAGGTTCTGCTAATGGAGCTAAACTTTTTTAGGGGGATGTTGCTGTCTGCTAGGTTCTCTTTTATTTTGATGCTCTTTTCCAGATCAGAGATTTGCCCATGGAAATCAGTCTCCAGCAGCAGCTAAGTTTTTAGTGCAGAAAAGGAAGGGCAAAGCAGCTGAAGAAACAGCTCTTCCTCTGCCCTCTGAAGCCATAACTAGGTGCATAATATATTTGGAGGTGTATCATATGCAAGAAAATATACTCTTCAGGGAGATGGTGTTTGTCAGGCATTTGCTGTTTCCAGGTTCCAGATCACGGTCAGCAGCTTTTGCAGAACTCTGCCTCCCTTGTTCCTATGTGAGCTCTGTTCCTCCACTCCTGTTTTCTTCCCACCTGCCCCAGCTTCAGATCTGGGCTGCAGCAGTAGAGGCACTTCCTGGGTGCACTGTTTAGATCAGCCATGCTCAATGATGGGTGCTCCCTACCCCTCGCCAGGGGGCGAGCTGCACATCTGGCCCCTGATCCATGCCCATCTCTCTCTTTTTAGAACCAGGTAATAGCTTTTGAATGGGACGAGATGCAGCGGTGGGACACGGATGAAGAGGGCATGGCGTTCTGCTTTGAGTATGCGCGAGGAGAGAAAAAGCCACGATGGGTTAAAATCTTCACGCCCTACGTAAGTGCCCATGTCAGCTGGGCAAAAGTCTCCTTGCCTTGATCTCTGGGCGTGAGGAAGGACTGGAAATTAGAATGCCACTAGGAGGAGCCCGAGGTAAAGAGGCTAGAGAGATTACAGAGGCCAGGCCTGTTCAATTTAGAAAAGAGATACTTGAGTGGGGACAGGAGAAGGATTTACACAATACTAAATGGTGAAGAGAAAGTCAGTAGGGATTTACTGTTGGCGCTCTCTCAGTACAAGAACTGGGAATCACAACATGAAGCTAGTAGGCAGTGAGTTTAAAATGAACACAAGGAAGTTCTTTCTCACCCAGCGTGGGACTTGTGATCACCAGACGTGGGGGAAGCTGAGAGATCAGCCAGATTCACAAAGGGACTGGACCACATTCTTGGAGGAAAGGGGCATCCGTAGCTATTGAGCAGGGGAGTGAGGGGTACAGCCTCTGAATCAGAGCTTCCTAGACTCTAAATGCTGGAGTCTGCAAGGGAACAGGGGGAAAAACTCTGGTAAGATCCAATTCACTCTCCCTCTCTGTGCCACGGTGTGACACAGGAGACTGGGCAAGATGCCCAGTCAGTGGCAGCTCTTACATTCTTATAAGGTACGATCAGCTCTTGGTGGGTAGAGCTGAGACCTGGGCCTCCCTTGCTGTCTGTGGGCAGGCTGTACTGCTGAGCTCTGTCCTGCTGTCTGAGGGACAGCTATCATTGTGACCAGCTAAGAGGTGGCCGCTTTCTCTTTGCAGTTCAACTACATGCATGAGTGCTTCGAGCGGGTGTTTTGTGAGCTGAAGTGGCGGAAGGAGGTAAGAGTCTGCCATTTCAGGGAAGAGGTTTCATGGGTTGGAGTTTGCAGTAGCCTTTTGTTGGCAGTGGCTCGCTGCCCAGCTGGGGAAACTTGTCTGGGGAGTATTGTGCAGTGTTTTAGCAGTGGAAACTGGGAGCAGGAACTTCTGGGTCCCTTCCAGTTTGGAGAGGAGTGTGGGGAGTTGGGAGTCAAGTGCCTGGGTCCTGCGTGGAGGTGATGCATGTTACACTCTGGTTTGAGGCAGTTTGGGGATTCCTGGGGCCTGATCCTCTTGTCACTTCTTGCTGACGCCCCCTTTTTTGCAGGGAAAGTGTTTGTGTGAGCGTGACTGAGTGGGACAATGAAACTTCCTAACTGCAGATAACTCACTGCACAGCCACGGGCCAGTCACCCCTTCATCCCCACCTTTAGAACAGGAGCAAAACTCCTGCCTTCTGGAGGGGTCACAGGGATTTTGAGATCCCTGGGGTAGAAAGCTCAATGGAAGGACAAGAGGGCCCAACCTAATGACTTGCTCAGATTTCCAGTCCTCACCCATTATAGCTCAGTTTTTGGCCATGGGTCCATGCCAAGTAGACCATAGCAAATCGGCCCACCCCACCTATAGCTTGGTTGTCTGATCTGCATTCCTCGCTTCCTGCTCCTCCTGTATTCACCTCCCTTCCCTGTGGGGAGAAATCTGAGTGGTCTTCATCTCTGTCCTTGCTTGGCACAGCTTCCTTCTAGAGCAGTTACTCAACCTTTTCAGACTTCAGACTCCACCTTGGACAATGCCAGCTCTCAGCTTTCACTTGGTTATTGAGCAGGGAAAAAGTCGGAGAGCAATTTCTTCGGTGCAGAGAACTGGCTCACAGCAGGACATGATGTTTGTGACATTCTGGATTTATTTCTGTTTGAAATCTCTGGGTTTACCTTATGAACCCTGTGCAGGTGTTAGCACACCTAATAGTGCTAAAAATTCACAGTCCCTGAGTTGAGAATCCATGATTTGGAGGTAATTTGCGGTGTGATGGAAAGAGAACAAGGAGTGCCATTGGCATGCGGCCGAGTGTGCCACGGGCTGGTGCTAGCAACATGCCATGCCAGAGGCAAGATGTCATCTTGTGTACATCTCGGATTGCCATGAGGCATCTCTGGGAGAACTTTTGTGGTGTCATTAGCTCATTGACTCTCCATTATTCCAGTTAGAGTGAGCAAGACCATCCTCTTTTAAAGGATTAGACCTAAGCAACTGCTGGCAGCAGCGCTGCTTTAAGTAGCCCATTGTTGGGTTCTGTGCTGCTATGGCCTCTGCCCCCAGTGCCAGCGAGAATTGGCTATCACTTCTGTAGCCTCTTGGTCCCAGAGCACGCAGCCTCCAAGGATGACTGGCTTGCTTGACTTAGTCCTAGAGTCCTGCTGGTTGCCATCTCTGATTGGAAGCCATCTGCAGCTCCAGATGTGCAGGGACCAGATGTTTTTCAGGGCTGGTCTGCTGGCCTTCAGTTTGGGCTTTCCTCCCTTGGAGTTTGGAGCTGGCTGCATGAATGCAGGCTGCAGTGTGGATAACGCTCACCTGTGTTGAGGCCCCTGTCATCTGCATAACCGTATCTCCTAGGGGAATAGCAGTGGGTTCTGCCATTGGGCTCTGGTTAATCATGTGGAATGGGACCTCGATCACGGGATTACCAGCGCACTGCAGTGGGGAGGGGAGATGCTGTAGGCAGTGTGTATAGGTAGCTGGCACTGCACCCTGCCTAGGGAAGCAGTTAGTAGTGTTGGCCCTTTGACACCTTGCTAACATTGCTCCCCACAAATATTGCTTACTTTTATGAGTTATGGCCAGATGTCTCTTTCCTTTTCTCCGGGAGAGTCCTGGCCGCACCTGTGGCTAAGCACAACAGTAGCTAACCCAGGCTTGATCTGGCAAAGTCAGTGTCTAGCAGAACTCTAGGTTGCTTAGCTCATAGTTACCTTTGCCTTCTGAAGAGATCTTAATTGCTGGAGGCTGCAAGTGAGAGAGGAACAGTGGAAAAAACCTTGGTCAGACCCAGGTCACTCTCCATGTCAGCCTCTGTGCTCTGCCCCTGTGTGACAGGTACTGGGCGAAATCATAATCTGACCCAGGAAATGGCAGTTCTTATGTCGTTGAGGGTGGAGGTGCATTTAAGTGCCTCATGTCCTCCCCTACCCCCTGAATCGTCCTAATCTGCCCCACTGCTGTCTGCCTAGCAAGCCAAGGTGGATTTATATTGACACCCCTTTCATTTTCTCTCTTGCAAAGGTGGAAGAGGAAGCAACAGACAAGGATAACAAGAATTGCAGTAAAGACAATATGTGCAGCAAGGTAATTGGGCTGGAAACCAGCAGCATCTGTGCTCCCTGAGCGGCGCCGGCCACTGTCATGGGACTACTTTTCTTTCTGCTCCTCGTCTCTGGTTCCTGTTAGTGTTGAATAGCGTCTTTGATAACGGCGGCTCCTTCTTAAAGGGACCCTGCAAAGTGCAAACCTGCTTGCTGCTGTTTTCAGGGTGGGGTTAGAGATTGTTTTGCCCTTTAAGAAATGAGCCTTGTTCACTTGTATTAGGAATAGTCCTTCCTCGCTTGCCAGCCTCCTGGACTTGGCCATCTTTGGAGAACTTGTCTGTGACTTTATGGCTGGGGGTTGAGGTCTGAGTTGCTGCTGCTACCCACAAATGGAAAGGAATTGCAGAGTCACGAGGGAGCTGCAGGCACACTCGGACTTTGCAACCTTTTTAAAGGACGGCAGATTGAATCCAGTAAGCCACATGCTAGTTTTTACAACAGGAGTCATGAATGTAGCCCTTCATGAATTGGCAAGTCCTGACCTTTCCTAGCTTGGTAATCAAGGAGTTAATTTAATACTGGAGTAGGAATATTCCTGTGTTGTGGCTTTTCTTGAACAAGCTGCCCTTGCTCTTCTCTGCCCAGCAGCTGCAGTGAAACATCTCTGTAGACCTAATCAAAGGTCAAGAAATTTAGCTTCAGATCCTGCTCCCAGAGGCAAACTTCCTTTAGCTCCGATTTATTTCATACGGTCTTACACAGGTCTCTGTACTCTGGTATGCTCCAGAATCCCAGCCCACAGAGACTGGTCTGTCCAAGATGTAGCATTGCGTGCTGGGAGTTGTAGTCCCTGTGAGCCACATCCCCAAACACTTCAGGGCTATGGCAGTCCTCTATTGCGAGAACTCCCAAGCTGCGAATTAGCACCGGTGTCCTATTGCTTTGTCTCTCCTGACTGGCTCATCCTTCCCCAGCATGTGCCTGCTTGCCTGGGGTCTGGGGAAATAGCTGCAGTTTTCTGTGCCATTTGCAAATAAATTTAATTGAAAATGGGAGAGTATAATTGTGTTTAGTTAGGCAGAAAGAGACCCCCCGGCACTCTGTGCACTGCTCCCAGAGACAGAAGTTATTGATTGTGATGCAGCCTCAATGATAAGATATCATGGGGTGATGACGAACAGGGTTAGAGACTTGTTGTTTGATGAACAATGTTGCTGCCCTTAGAATGGACTTTATACAGGTAGGACAAGCCAGCCAAGTAGGTGAGAAGCCGGCTATGTGCTAGATGGTGGAGGTTCCTTCAGAAGCCCTCCTGGAGACCCCACTGTGGCTTATTTTTAAGCTGGGTCTGTTTAGGAAAGCTCAAATTTTTAGTTTGAGGGGAGCAGTTCCCCCAAAAAGCCCCTTAAAATCCCAACTCCATGAGTGGGGCATGTGCAAGGAGGTGCAGGATGGGTGCCGAGTGTGGGTGAAGGGTTGACATGTTCTTGGAGATGCCAAGCTGGAGTCTTAATTACCAGATCTCTCCAATTCTCCTTCTAGTGCAGCGGTGCTGGCGGTTCTCCGTGCTGGGACTCTGCCCCCAGTTAGCAGTTTGGTGGGGGCTGGGTGGTGATGCCCACTCATTCCTGGTTTTTCCCAGGCCATCCTGAGGGGCCGTGACCAGGATTTCCTTCTCCAAAAGGCCCTGTGGGCTGATGGAGAGAAGAGCCCAGTTTTTGTGACCATTTGAGTGCCCCCCCATTCAGTTAGCTCGTGCTGTCTCCTGGGTGCAGAGCTGCTAGCACTGGCAGTTACTTCTGCAGATGATGTGTAGATGGGCTTCATGTCAAATAGCGGGAAGGCTCCTGACCCAAAGGGGCTCCTTGATTTCATAGATTTCATAGACAGTAGGGCTGGAAGGGACCTCGGAAGATCATCGAGTCCAGCGCCCTGCCCAAAGGGCAGGAAGTCAGCTGGGGTCATAGGATCCCAGCAAGATAAGCATCCAGTTTGTTCTTGAAGGTGTTCAATGAAGGCGCTTGAACCACCTCCGGTGGCAGGCTGTTCCAGACCTTGGGGGCTCGGACAGTAAAGAAATTCTTCCTTATGTCCAGCCTGAAACGATCTTGAAGTATTTTGTGACCATTCGACCTCGTCATCCCTTGGGGCACTCTGGTGAACAAACGTTCCCCCAGATACTGGTGGTCAGCCCTGATAAACTTGTAGGTGGCCATCAGATCACCCCTGAGCTTGCGCTTTTCCAGGCTAAAGAGCCCCAGGGCTCTCAGCCTGTCATCGTAGGGTCTGCTTCCCTGACCTCTGATCATGCGCGTGGCTCTTCTCTGGACTCTCTCAAGCTTCTCCACATCCTTTTTGAAGTGTGGAGCCCAAAACTGG